CCCCCCCCCCCCCCCCCCCAGAAGGCTGCCTGGCTCCTGAACCAGCATCCCAACGGGACAAGACGGGGGGGGAGGGGGGGGGCCAGACTCACCTTTCTTTGCCTGAGAGTTCACCACGATGGGATTCACGGGATACACCGAGGAGTCCTCGGGGTTGGCTGTGCGGCATCGCCGGGCCGAGTCCTGCAGAGGGGGGATAATGACCCATGGACGTGGGGTGTCTGCTGGACAAGGCCAACCCCCCTCCTGGGTAACAGACTCTGAGCCTCAGAAAGCTGGGATCCCCCCCGGATCAGACCCACGGGCCCATCTACCCCGGTGTCCCGCCTCCCCCGGATCAGACCCACAGGCCCATCTACCCCAGTATCCCACCCTCTCCCTGCCCCCCTCAATGAGACCCCCGGGCCCATGAACTCACTGAAGCCCTTCACACAAACCCAGCTCCGCTACCCGACTGCAGTGTCTGGAGGCAGGGAGTCCCGCAGGTTAACGACCCAGCTGCAGCTAGAGCCAGGGTTGATCGGCCCCGGCTCCACCCCTGCCCTCACCGTGGTGTCCAGCGGCTGCTCCCCTTCTCGGCCCCGCTTCTCGTCCTCCCCGATTCGCTGCTCGGTGGCCCTGGCATCCCCGGATCGGCCAATGGTCTTCTCGGCCTCCTTCAAGTCCGTGAGGGTGACGCCCTGGCAAGGGAGCATGCGGGTCAAGGAGGGGCAGGTACTTACAAATCTGGTATGGTGGGAGGGTTGGCACCCTTAGGGGGAGCAGGGTCGCTGGCCAGGGCGGCAGTCACCCCCGCAGGAAGGGAAACGACGTACAGCACCCCCAGGAGGTGTGGTAGCGTCACTGCACCCCCAACAGAGAGGAAGGGACCGGCCCAAAGTCAGTGACAGAGCTGGGAAAAGAACCCAGGAGTCCAGGCTCCCCGCCCCCGCGCAGCTCCACACAACTAGGTCCCCCCTCCCCTCCCAGAGCCAGGCAAAGAACCCAGGAGTCCTGGCTCCCAGCCCCCCCTGCTCTAACCACTGG